GGTACATTCTTTCGATACCTACACGGAATCCTTTTATCCTTTACTGAAACCGAATTGTTCCCGTTGGTGAGTCTGACGCATGCGGTTGATACATGCCTTAAGCAGTGAATGCGCCAGCGCTCTTTCAAGATCAGTAGAGTCGCGAACGCATAGAGCATGTTGCGTGTGTCGGTGTGGTGTTTCAATGTGAATGGTATGATTAATTTTATTCCTATTGTTAAGAAAACTGACCAGTTTGTTGCCAACCATTACGCATGAAAGGACGCTGTATGATGTAACTGACGCATTATAGGAAACGCACCATAAAATACAGGTTAGACTACGTTAGTTAAGTACAAAATAAACTTAAACAAATATTTAAAATACTGAACGTAAAAAATGTATTGATGATATCTTTAAAAGTAGACGACATTGGCCTTTTCTCGATGTGGAAAACGTTTTCCGGAAGTAGAATTCATTATTGCTGAGATGAATTTGGGAAAACTGTTTTTTTATATATATGTGAAATAAATAGATAATATTGTAATATATGACTGTAGGATTGTAAAGAAAGTAATAGCAACAAAGTGCTTTTAGTTATCCAGGAATTATAATAATTAGAATATACATAATACATATATTTACCTACTTAATGGTAACAGTGGTATTAATATTTATAATTTAGATGCAATATACATATTATACAATACACTCATACTCTTATAGGGACTCGTACATAATGTGACAATATTATTCATATCAGGGTATTCACAATTGCAAATACTTATATTACCCCGAAACGATTTTTTTTTAGCTAATATCCATAGCTGTACCTGTTCACTTACGTATTCAACGATCACTTATTTATCTTTAGGCATAGCAGAACTAAACGATAAAAAATCCAATAATGAAAATTGTCGTTCAGCAATTTCTTTTTATTAATTTAGTTGATATTGCATAACTACCAATTGAAAAAAAAACAAAGAAACAAAAAACAAAATCGATATCTACTGAGGAAGTAGAGTATACAGTATTTGCCAAGAATGCATACGTTATAGGTACACGCTATATACTCCTAAAAGCCACTTGTATAGTTCTCTGCAAACGCTGTATGTTTCTTGCATTAAATATACTCGTTAACTGAAAAAAATAACTGTTAAAAAAAATATTGTACGTAAATATTTTTGTTGGAAGCATCGCTCAGTGGTATGTATCTATAACGAAAAATAAAATAAAAGTATTTTAAAACCGAAATAAATGGTTTTTCTCCGTCTGATATGACGGTGGAGGTTTTTCTACTATTAACTTAATGCATCTTGATTGTTTCATTGTCATAAGAACAATTGAAGCTAAAGGGATTATATGTAAACCTGATAGACGATAAAATACTACTGAAACATCACTGACTTATTCTTAAATGATTTGAAACTGCTAAGGCCTGCTGTGTTTCACCTAAAACTTGATCGAGTTTGAAAATAATAAAATCTCATATTTTAAATTCCTAAAAAGTAGACCGTACAAAGCTACATCATCATCATTATCATAAGGTAGTTAGTCCTAAAACTGGCTGGACACGTACCTGCTATCTTTTCTTTTCTGAGCTAATCTTCGCATTTCCCTAAAAACTAGAAATACCCTCATCCTTAACAATTTGCGAACAGTAATCTAATCTAGGTCTACCTCTACCCATCCCAACTCCTGTTTCTGCCTCTAGTATATCTCTGACTAAATCTTCATACCTGAGAAGGTGTCCTAATAGCCTATCTCGCCTATTTCTTAAGACTTCAATAGAGTCCTCTGTTCTTATTCTTTCTAATACCTCTTAATTTCTAACCTCGTCTATTCACGGTATCCTCATCATTCGCCTATAACACCACATTTTGAACGCTTCAACCCTTTTCTTTTCTGCCACGCTCACCGTACATGTTTCGCACCTGTACAGCGCCGCATAGAAGTGACTTCTTTATATTGAAGACGACACGAGCCTGTACTATTCTCTGCTTTATATCCCAACTTCTCCTTCTGTCCTAACTTACCTGACTTCCTAGAAACCAAAAATCAGCTAGTTCTTCTAATTTTTCGCCTCCAATCTTTATATTAGTTACCATTTTATTTAAAGCTATCTCTAGCTCCTNGAACAGTAATCTAATCTAGGTCTACCTCTACCCATCCCAACTCCTGTTTCTGCCTCTAGTATATCTCTGACTAAATCTTCATGCCTGAGAAGGTGTCCTAATAACCTATCTCACCTATTTCTTAAGACTTCCATAGAGTCCTCTGTTCTTATTCTTTCTAATACCTCTTAATTTCTAACCTTGTCTATTCACGGTATCCTCATCATTCGCCTATAACACCACATTTTGAACGCTTCAGCCCTTTTCTTTTCTACCACGCTCACCGTACATGTTTCGCACCCGTAGAGCGCCGCACTCCAAACGCATCTTTAACAACCATTTTCGAATTTTTAAATTAACCGTTCGCGAGCATAGAAGTGACTTCTTTATATTGAAGACGACACGACCCTGTGCTATTCTCTGCTTTATATCCCAACTTCTCCTTTTGTCCTAACTTACCTGACTTCCTAGATACCAAAAATCAGCCAGTTCTTCTAATTTTTCGTCTCCAATCTTTATATCCGTTCTTTCCCTACTTTTTCTTCCCTTGCATACCAGTACTTTTGGTTTACTTTTATTTATTTTCATGCAATACTGTTTTGTCAATACCGCTTCCATTTTATTTAAAGCTATCTCTAGCTCCTAAGAAACTATTAAAAGATCTTAAATTCAATGCTAGTATGAAAACTGAAGAGCTTCAGGTGATTGTAATCGATTTTGTTAATTGATGAGCTTTAGATTGAGAAACGGATTTTGAAAATATTCTGTATTTCTTACAATTAGTGACTCAAATAACTAATAGGTCGGAGGTTAAGGTTGTAATACCTGGAATAATTAATATGTTTTATCGTTTAAACATTTCTTTATTTCTTTGTACATTGACGATGAAATATTTCCAGGGATATTTTACAAAAATATGTGCCATGTACCTACAGTAATATAAGAAAATATTCGTTTGTTAGTGTTATTAAGTACATTCTGAGACATGAAACAATCAGCTGTTAAAGCAGGAAATTGAACATTCACAATTAATGACAAATTTTGTTTTTGACAATACGATACATTAGGTAAACAAGTTTATTAAAAAACAGATTGACTTGAAGTCAGTTTTGGCAACCGTTCGTCTATGTTTAAACACATAATCGTAATTAGACAAATTAACAAAACTGCATAGTGGAAAGTCACCTTATTCGGGGCAGTTACACAATTCTAGAATATGTACTAACAATCAATTTTATTAAAATCGAATAGGGACTTGTTAACAGTTAATGTTATCAAATTAATTTCGTACAAATTGGGCAGAGAGAATTATTTTACAGTAAGTATAAAAATTCGAGCTTCATTAACAGTTCAAATTGTGATGCAAGCTACACGTTTTTCACATTATTGCGACTAAACTGTTTTAGCAGCATTTTAGACTTATTTTTAATAATTGCATTAGGTGATAAATAGTTTACAAGAAAACAGTGACATGGAACGTTAACGATTGGGTTTTCCATGAAGTATAGGTATTAAAGCCCAAAGAGTTGTTCATTTACAAGAAAATTGCAGATAAACTTGTTTTAAATGACTTTAATCACCGAAAGATAAGAAACAGTCCTAGACCATTGCCAAAAAACAATCAATTCTGTTTGACAAAGACAAATTAAGATGCTGACAAATCTTTCGAAGAAGATCGAAAGGAATGTTTCCTTTTTCAGAAGGATTATATATCTATTGAAAAGTTTCTGAAAATTTTCTATTGTAAAGCAAATATGTTAAATATATTTAAAAATGTAGGGATGAGTTACAGAAATAGAAGAGTAATTCTTAGTTTGTATAAAGGGCAGTTATAGACCTGGAGCAGCAACGTAGAGAAGTAAATATATGGAAGGGAGTCAGATAGGGATGCACACTGTCACCGGTACTTTTTATCTATACATCGAAGACGCGATCAACATCATTAAAGACAGTACAACTGTAGGGATAGATATACAGCGGCAAAAAATTAGTATGCTTAGATTTGCAGATGATATTGCAGTATTAGCATCTAACAAGGAGGAGTTAGAGATAGCTTTAAATAAAATGGAAACGGTATTGACAAAACTGTATTGTATGAAAATAAATAAAAGTAAAACAAAAATACTGATGTCTAAGGGAAGAAAAAGTAGGGAAAGAGCGAATACAACGCTAGGAGACGAATGCTTAGAATAAGTGGCTGATTTTCGGTATCTAAGAAATCAGATAAGTCAGGACGGAAGGAGAAGTTGAGATATAAAGTAAAGAATAGGTCGAGTCACTTTTAATAAAAAGAAGTCACTTCAAGTCAAGTTGGAAAAAGATTGTTAAAGGGGTATGTTTGGAACACGGTATGGGTAGGACGGTGGGCGCTGTGGAAAAGAAAAGGTTAGAAGCGTTCGAAATGTGATGTTACCAGTGAATGATGAGAATACCCTGGATATAGAAGGTTAGAAATGAAGAGGTATTAAAAATAATAGGAGAACAGAGGACTTTATAGAAGTCAATATAAAATTGGCAAGATAGGTTGGTACAACACCTTCTCAGGCATTAAGGTCTAGTCAGAGACATATTAGAGGCAGAAACAGGAGTTGGGAGTGGTAGACGTAGACCTAGATGTTCTAGTTTCAGGGAAATGCGAAGATTAGCTCAGGATAGGAAAGAGTGGAGGTGCGTGTCTAACCAGTCTGAGGACTGACAACCTTTGATGATGAAAAAAAAATTCGCGATATCTAATAAGTATAATTATTATTGCTGTCTCTGCTTTCATTTATAACATAATTCAAAGATATACTTTGTAAAGGATTCCGTTGTTCTTCTTTAGTTGTAAAATTTTAACTTCATATTACTTTAAACAACTTTGATCGTTCTTCTTTGTGATAAAAAATAATTTCACCTGAACGTGTAACTCGCACCACGTACATTTTTATTTTTACATCATTCATCCACGTGCCTATCTCGCACAATAGTTAATTACGACAATTTTACCTTATTTAATCAAGCGAGTATTGGAAACATTTTATTAATTAGTATCCTAAACAATAATCAGTCAGTAAATGTATTAAATATCTAATAAATACCCAAAAAATTAATATTTGGTAATCCAGTGTCGGGAGTTAAATAGTCACCCTTAATGTTTATGTTTCTAAACAATTTACACCCAATGTACAATACCTAACACTGTATTAAACATTAGTGTAGTTACAATAAAAATTTAAATTTAAATAGATAATAATACTTGCATTAGGTAAGTATAGTTACATTTTACTAAACCTCTAAATCACAGCTCTTTTTTCGTAAGCAAACTTAGAGCTAACAGCGCCTGCCTCCTAACTTTAAATAAGTGTACTGTAGGCATTAGTAAGTGATGAATTGGCATGAAGTTAGTTTCAGTGATATGTATCAGAAACTAAGAAAGATTGGGCCGGGTGGATTAGGTAATAAGTGTCAAACACGGGATTTAGTTAAAAAGGATTATTATCTACATATTCAAATTAAAGTACAACAAAACTACTGGCTTGCAAGGGAAGAAAAAGTAGGGAAAGAGCGTGTCGTGTCGCCTTTAATAAAAAGAAGTCACTTCTATGCTCGGGAACGGTTAATTTAGAAATTCGAAAAAGATTGTTAAAGGTGCAGGTTTGGAGCGCGGTGCTGTACGGGTGCGAAACATGGACGGTGGACGCGACGGAAAAGAAAAGGTTAGAAGCTTTAGAAATGTGGTGTTACAGGCGAATGATGAGGATACCGTGGATAGAAAAAATTAGAAATGAAGAGGTATTAGAAAGAATAGGAGAACAGAGGATTCTATGGAAGTCAATAAAAAATAGGCGCAATGGGTTAGTAGGACATCTAGGTTTAGTCAGAGACATGTTAGAGGCAGAAACAGGAGTTAGGAGGGGTACAGGTAGACCTAGATTAGATTACTTTTCGGAAATAGTTAAGGATGTGGGATGTTCTAGTTTTAGGGAAATGCGAACTTTAGCTCAGGATAGGAGTGGAGGTACGTATCCAACCAGTCTTAGGACTGACGACCTTATGATGATGAATTTATAAGAATTATTTAGCCATTCATTGGCTTCTTTAGGTGGAATAATGTTATTAAACGTAATAAATATTTGTAACGAAACCCGGTGTTTGTTTTGGTATTTTTGAAAATTAATCTGCAAGAAGTTAAAGTTTCATCAATTGTATTTTAATACTTATGTTTTGTTGTTAACCATTTACTGACCTACCCCCTAACTTTTTCTTTCTTATTAGTACATTTCAGTACACCCACGACTTCACGCTGATTCATCACTTATTTCAACTACATAACTTTACGTAATAAATATACATTAATTACATAATATTATCTTTTGTTTATAATAATATTACGTACCTCCTACTAATAGAATTCACAGTTAAGTCTTGTACTAAAATTAATGTACAAATATTACTATTCATATATTGAGATAGGTACTATATCTCTTTCTCTTTAAGAAAACGACATTAAAAAAACTCGTAGGTCCTAAAACTGAATCAATTTCGGTACGTTTGTAGTATATCGTCTTAATCTTAAGATCTTTTAGGTAGAGAAATGTTCTTTTGTGACAAATATTCTGTATTAAAATCGACAATAAATACTTTAGTTATTGTGAAAACTAATGCAGACCCTACTAACAATAGAATCCTAGTTTCATGTACGTTGAAAAAACATACTAATTTTGAGAAGCTCATTAGGTATATTTTAATAATTAATTAAAAAATCGTAGACAATTCCCCTCATATCGAAAATGTTATCTCTAACTCCATATATTTATATAATAAAAAGTCCATTAGTGTAACATGTTTTAGCTTTGTTTGTTCGGACTTTTATGAGAACGTCTACGCTATTTTTGTAAAATAAATAAATCTCTTCTTCATTTGCATACCTATATGTAATTTAATTCGTCCTTGATAAGGCTGTGAAAAGCCATAATGAATTCAAAAATTTTCGTCAAAACTAAGCAGCTCTGATAATAACTGTAAACAAAATTATTATTATCTTCAGGGCCCAATTTACTTTTCGTTTCATATTGATGTATTATTTCACATATTATATGATGCTAGCTCCATGTTTAAGTTGACGACCATCTGCTGGTACAATGAGTACATCTTTACCATTTGCCACTGCGAAACTCTCTATCATACTCTTTGAAAGCCTGAGACTTCTTGAAGGTTTTTCTTTTTCGAAGCGAATTGGCGATCCCTTCCTGTATAGCCTGCAATCGTCACTAGCCAGGATGATATTCGACTTTTCTGACTTGGCAACTGGAATTAAGAGCAGATCCCCCATCGACCTGGAAAAGTTCGTGGATGTAAAGTTTATATCCTATTTAAATTGGTTGGTCCGGAAGAATATTTAAATCGGATAGAAGTACGTAATTTAATAACAGATTTCGTCAACTGGAGAACCACAACTCATTTTCAATTTAAAATTGACGCAAAACTTAATTTACGATAAGAGCCGATTGAAAAAATTTGTATCAAAGTTTTGGAGAAGTTGAAAATGAACACGTTTAAAATTTAGAGATGGCCTTTGAATATTTACCTTGAGGTAATAATCTTCAAGATTACAGGGTGACTTCGCTTTAAATTGAATTGACAGCATTAACAAACAATTGAATATTCAAGCATCATGTTCTCCTTTGTCGACGTAATTCAAAACAACAAATTTTGAAAGACGCTTGTTTAGATGAATAAGTAAAGACTGCTGAATTACATAATTGTCCATATTTTATATTGTCTTATATTATTATAGAATAAAGTTCCTTATCGCACAATGCGGCGGCTAACCAGCAAAAATCACCGTTTAGATCTCTTTCGTCTAAAGTTACAAACTAATAAGAAATATGGTACTTGTTCTGAAATTTATTCAGAAGTTGACAAAAATCCATTTTAAGATTGTCTATTGCAATAATTTTAAAACAGGAAGACCCAATTTGTAATCAGTACACACTTTCTTATGTTAGAGTTTTCTTCAATTCCTTCAACCGTCATCATCATCATAAGGTTGTCAGTCTTAAGACTGGTTAGACATGCATCTTTACTTTTACGTATCCTGACCTAATCTTCGCATATCCCTAAAATTAAAAGCTTTCGACATCCTTAACTTTTTGTGAACAGTAATGTAATCTAGATCTAGATCAATCTGTACTCCTCTTAACTCCTGTTTCTGCTTTTAATATATCTCTGACTAGCCCTTCATGTCTGAGAAGGTGTTCTACTAACCTATCTCCCTATTTCCGTACAGTCATCAGTTGTCCTATTCTTTCTAATACCTCTTTATTTCTAACTTTCTCTATCCGTGGTATCCTCATCATTCGCATGTGACACCACATTTCGAATGCTTCTAATCTTTTCTTTTCTGCCGCGCCCACCGTCCGTGTTTCGCATCCGTACAACGCCGCGCTCCAAACATATACCTTTAATAATCTTTTTCAAATCTCTAAATTAACATTTAAAAAGTATTCGTATGCTTTATCCAGTATAAGGATATATTTTACAAGCAAGCATCTGAACCTAACTCTGCTAATATCTAGCAAACAAACATGAGATCAAAAGCAAATAAGACAGTTTTGGAACGTACCTATTTAGTATGAACGCCTAATCCTTACATAATGAAAATCTTAAATTAACCGTGAGAAGAAGTGTTTTATTTTATTTACTAAAACAACCCAATTCTGCGCTATATTTTATTAAATATCTCTACAAGATCCTGAATTATCTGACTTCCCAGATAACGAAAATCAGCCACTTCTTGTAGTTTTTCATCTCCTATCTTTATTTCTTATATTTTTCTACCCATCACGAATGATCAGACTGAATTTGGGTCAAACCTTCATTTTAAAATTATTATAATAGACAACCTTAAAACGGTTTTTGTCACCGTATAAATAGATTTCAGAATAAATATTTATTAGTGTAAGTCTCTTTGAGTATAGCCAAGTGTGCAATTAACGATCAGCGAAATTTCAATCACCACAATTGTATTTATTCAACCCAATTGGATAAAATTATCATATAACTCGCAGGATAATGCTCGGTTTTTCTCGAATTTCCTGAAACGTGCCTTGTCTTCTACTATAGACAATTCGTGAGGTACTTCTAATGGCGGAAATTTCGTGTTTACCAATAAATTATTCGAGCGTTATGATCAGACCTCGTAGTGGGTATGCATTCGAAAATCAGAGCAACGTGATGCATAATAATTAAAGTAATTACTGTAACTTCTACTACCCGATCTTTGAGGTAATGGAGCGAACTAATAAGATGTTTGCCGATGGCGCCATAAACATTTTAGTATGTCACACCCACAAGATTTCCACATTGTCAAATAACCGAGTTATTAAGGAACGACATTCTTTGGAATGTAACATGATGTAGGCATGTACATCCTGTTTGTGTCAGAAAACCCCTTAAGATTAAATTTCATTCGTGTTATATAAAACATATTACGTAAATGAAAGTTAATATCAGCAATTTCTTATGCTGAAGTGTACGATGTGTTGCATACCTATTTACAAACAATTCCTTTAGATTTTAATCATTGATTACTATAGATCTATTAAAAAACCATAATGGTCGACATCAGTGACAATGCAACAACAATTGAATAAGAATAATGGCCGACAACTGCAACAATTAGAAAAGAATGATGGCCGACAACTACAACAATTAGAAAAGAATGATGGCCGACAACTGCAACAATTAGAATAGAATGATGGCCCATAACTGCAACAATTAGAAAATAATGATGGCCGACGCTACGTCATTGTGGAGCAATAAAAATGGCCGAGGATAGGGGAAAGAACTAGCTATATTAATATATATTTGGGATTATTAATTTTGGTTAATTTTAAAATGCTAAATTCGTCACACAGTGGTTTATTCACAAAAATCACTTGATATGCTACGTACCTTCTAAGGCTACTGAAGCAATCCTTTTGGACGTGGTTAATAAATGATGCTGGGTCACCAGCTGTAACCAAACCACTTAAGGGTTGTCCATTGGGAGAACTGACCAGTGGTCGACTGGGCGAAAAGCCCAAGGCGGTCAAGAGATCGTCCAAAATTCTTTTTATGGCGAGTCGTATTTCCGAATTTCGGTAACCGTAGACCCAAGGATTAACAGCACTGCTTGCTAGAATCGGCAGAGCCAAAAAGACTGATATCCACTCTGATAAAATCTCTGTTCCAAGAAAAACGTCCATCAGCATACAAATCTGTAAAAATTAAGAAGACAAAAATTGACATTTCCATTAAGTAGTAACTAACGTTGAAATTTTTAACGTTGAAAGTAGAGGAGTAATCTCGCGTAACTTTTGCCCTTGATATCAGCATAAACAGGTAGAGATCAAAAGTGGCTCATGCACTCATCAACAATAAAAATACCTAATAAAAATTATTGAGATAATCGTGGAAAAGCACTCTAAATGCTTTTGTTCCACTTCGTTTTTCTCATTTCATACGTCAACAACAACAACAACTTTCTTATAAAATCACATCTTCATTTCTACGTTTGACATTTTTTCTGAAACGATTTAAGGTAGAAAGTGGAAGAGAAAATTATCCATACGAATGAATTTTCCATTAGGAGAAAAAGTTTCAAATAAAATTGTGTTATCGGAAGTTTTTTATTACTCAAATTATGAAATTAAGATCTAAAAATGATAGATATCACAATGGGCCTAAGATGGAAGACATTAAAAATGTATATGTCCCAACCCGATTTCTAGATAAACTACTTTTGCTTAGACCAAACTGATTTAACCAGAAATCGGATAAGAGTAAAATGGAAAAGATAATAAACAAAAAATGAATGCATAAGGGTGGTTTATCTTTGAATCGGATTTGACCCATAACATTTTCCAAAACCTAGTTTCGAGTAGTATATAGGTTCAGCGTATAATTCCCATTATTTAGATTCAAAATTTGTATTTTATTACTGCAAAAGAAATTAGAAATTATAATTTCGAGTTAGCTTCTAATTGATAAAACTTTTCTAAGTAAGATCTTGATCGTTCAGTTCAATGTTTAATAATAAACAGATATTATATTAAATAATACTCCAGTAATACAACATTATATATTTACATAGTTAAGATTACAGTCTGCTATTATTTTCTTTTAGTTTTACATTTTATGTTTTAATATCACAATAGGTCTCAGACTACACTATCGAACTGTTATCTAACACACATTGTTCTCGACCTTGACTAACGATAAGTTATTTTATTCAACAAAAAAAAAAGGATCTGATAATTACAAAAACAGTCTGCTCGAGAGCGAATGGTTTGGTATCACGTATTAGTTTAATTTCAGATTGTGGCTGATGATTGATGTGTTTTCACATTTACGGTGAAATTAATTAGCTTTATTTTTTTGTTGTTAATGTTAATTGTTTTAAGTGCTTCTTTATAATTCTAATTCATACTTATTTTGTCTACAGATGCCTAGATGTGTTTGAAGATGTTGACTTCAGTTTGAAAGGTATGCTATCAAAAATTACATTACACTTTTTTATTTAAACATTATGTACCCCGTGTATAACTTTTAACAAAAAAAAACAATTAGCCTATGACATTCCTAAATAACCCTTAATGTTACAATTATATAAGAAATACATAATTTGAATGAAGCGCCCTGTGAGTTAGGGCTCCAAGTCGCACAACCCAATCGTTCAATCAATTCTTCTGATGGTTAATAAGATCGATGCTATTGATCATTTTTGCTTTGACATGATTCCTATTTTGATTTTGACCACTCAAAAGCTCATTGTTCGTTCCCTGTAATTAGGGTTGCCTAGTGTTGCCCAAATTCAGTCTTGGTCTTGCAGTCTTGGTCTTGTTCTTGCGTTTTTGCAAGACCAAGACCAAGAACAAGACCGCGTATTTTTAGCAAGACCAAGACCAAGACTGACCGTGCAAGACTTGAGCAAGAACAAGACATAGCCTGCAAGACTCTTGCGTCTTGCAGCTAGGACTTAGCGCTATTTCACTGAGTAGTTAGGTGTAACAGTTCGGTGTATAGGTAGGTACGCTTAGGAATTCTATGAGACGCAAAAAACTGTATCAAAGAATATGAAAAACTGGACCTATGCGCATTACGACTAATACCATAAACATAGCGAATAAAAAAATTATTAAAATCAAACTGAGT